GGTGGCTGGGCAGTGGGAAGACCTGCAACTATCAGTAGTACTGTATCTTCTTTGTGTTCTCTTTACCTACTCCCACCACTCCAGGTTGACCAGCTCACATATAGGCATGTTGGATGCTGCTACCCCCTAGTCTTCCCTTAAGGCCACTCCCAAAGCCCTGGGCCACTTAGAATCCAGCTGATTGACTGTTCACTCTGCTTGGATGAGAAGGGACTACCAATTCGACACTGTTCAGTGAGCCATGTCACTGTCTTCAGCTGTACTAGGCCTTACTCTCTGCTCTCCTTTACACTCTTTAGATATTTGATGATATATCCCAAGAAGCCTTGCCATCTGCCCTTCCACTAAACCCACACAACTTCAGAGCCTTTCCATCTATCTACCCTGTAGCTGAATCTTATTTTCTGTTATCTCTGCAAATTGAGTCAGAACTATCTTTTTTCCCCTCCTATTTGTATCCCCAGCATTCAGTGCAGTGACTGATACATAATAAGAGCTTAATAAGCATCTATTAATTCATTCATTTCCCTTCTTTATAGTTATACCTCATTGTAATGATTCTTCAATGCTCTCACAAATGTGTTGCATCTCCTGTATAATAAATCCAATCTGGCTGTTTTTCTCATTTTTGTTCCCTTTAGTGCTATTTCTACCTCTGTAAGCACCTCCAATACTTTGAAGTTAGGGTCCAATAAAGGTAGTTCCTCCCAACCTTGACATAGGAAAAAATGTCATAATGGCTTTTGCAATCATTTTCCATTTTCTTTTGTTTGTATTCCTCCTTCCATTTTTTGTCTTTGAGTGCCTTTGTGATGATTTTACTTAGTTGGTTATCTTTCCAAGCTTTCTTTAAATTAATTTTATCTTCTAATTATTTCTGTTTTATGAGGCAATTTTTTTTTTTTCTTTTTGTTAGGCAGTGGGGTTAAGTGACTTGCCCAGGGTCACACAGCCAGTAAGTGTTATGTGTCTGAGGCCGCATTTGAACTCAAGTCCTCCTGATTCCAGGGCCATCCAGTGCGCCACCCAGCTGTCCCTATGAGGCAATATTTTTCATAATTATCCATAATAATCCTTCTTTGTAAGACTTTACAAATGAATTTATATTCTAACCTGGTATTGCTTTTGGCAGGCATTTCTCTTTGTTTGGCAAATACTTCAAACAACAGTTATGGTACTTTCTGGACTCCTTTGGTCTCCCTGTGTTATTGGCAACTAATTTATGCTGGTTAAATTTCAGGATAAAAATATGGTCAATGTCAATATAATTTCTGTTGTCTACTTCCCATCTTTGATTTTTCATTACTTGTTTAGTTCGAGCTCAAGTTATTTCAACTGTATGCCATCAGTTTCTCATTATTATTCTTTCTCTTAATTAAAAAAATTATAAACTAGTTCTTGTTCTAAATACACAGAAAATAACTACTCAGAGTTAATTCCCATATTAATTACAAGTTTTTTTCATTGGTTAAAATATAATTTACTATGTTCTTTATGGTGTTATTTGGTTCAGCACTTATAATTATTTTTAACTTTTTACCATGTAAAAATATGAGGTTTTGGGGTAGCCTTTGGCCTGTTTCATTCCATAAAACTATGTTTTTTCAACCTTCATCTTCCTCTACCTTTGTGCTAAAGTCACCAAGAACCTCCGAAAACTCTGATTTAATTTGGATGGTATTACTGGTATTATTTGGATATTTAATTTGGATGGTATTATTTGTAGAATATTTCCATCACTTTGTCTCCAGCAACTGATGGTGGTGCACAAACTACAATTATTTTTATGATGGTCTTTTTTGCATATACTTTTACTTAGTATAGCCCACCATGTGTTGCTACAAAAATAGGTAGTGGGCTTGCTGTGACCCAAGAACTATAGTTTGCCAACCCCGGTTGTAATACATAAAAACAAAATAATCCATGAAAAAATGTTTCTTGTTACTTTTAGGCATATGATAATACACAGTTGGCCAATTTCTTGAAGAAGAAATAGCTATCTTTCAATTTAACCTGCAACTTCCTTTGGTTATGTCTGTAACATACAGAATTTATGCTTTTTTGTCGATATATTTTAAGTACTGTTACTTTACTGAGGTTAACAATTGTGTTTTTTTCTGTTTGGTTTTCTAGAGTTTTTTTAAGTGAACAACCATTATCTTCTGTGACTAAAGATAATTCTGCAAAACTTTTACCAATGCAATGAATGTTATTGCATCATATTTTATTATCTATGCTTCTTTTAACTAATAATATAGTTTCCTTGCTAGTCTCTCTGAATCGAAGCTGTCTGCTATTGCTTTATCTAAAATCAAGATCACAGGAGCAGCTAGGTGATGCAGTGGATAGAGAACCGGCCTTGGAGTCAGAAGGACCTGAGTTCAAAAACGAGCCCAGACACACAACACTTACTAGTGTGTGACCCTGGCCAAGTCACTTAACCCCAATCGCCTCACCAAAAAAACAAAAACAAAACACAAAGAAAAAAATAAATAAATAAAATCAAGACCACATTCTCCCTTTCTTTTTGGATTAGGCAGATATATATTTCTTTTAACTAGAAAATTTTTTCTGTTTTCTAAACTATTTTGTGTTTTTACTTTTGTTGTCTTTTTTATATGTACAAGGTACAAGCTTGTTTTGCTGTTAAACCACTCTTACCAACATTAAAGATAAATTAAAGTTTATTTACTTTGTAATAATCCAATCTTAATCAAAACTCCCTCTCCTCTTTCACTTATACCAAATACAGAACACTGGATCTGATTTATATCTATATAAATCAATATCTATCTGTAGTTAAAAATGTGCTTATACTACCCTATGTCTCTCAGATGGTTTAGAAATCCCTATTATCTTTTCCAAATAATTTTTTATTAACTTTTAGTTGTGGCTCCTGTCTTTTAAAAATATTATTTCATTTTTTCTTGAATATTCTTTCCTTCAGTACTCTGTAAGTACAAATACACAATACATCTAGCTATATGACCTTTTCAGGTGATTTACCCCTCAAATTCCTAGCTTTTGTTTTTTTAAAATAATGATTCTCAAACTACATGTAAATCTAGCCCCCACCCCCGCCCCTGGCTTTGTTTTATTTATATTCTAAATAACATTTTATTTGCTCCCTCCCCACAATTATATGGAAAAACAATTTTTAACTTTTTAAGTTTTAAGTTCCAAATTGTATTTCTTCCTTCCTCCCTAAGACGATAAGCAATCTCACATAGGTTATACATGTACAATCATGTAAAACATATTTCTATATTAGTTTTTTTGTGTGGTAGAAAACTTGAACCAAAAACAGAAAGACAGGAAGGAAGAACTGAAAAACAGTATGCTTCAATCTGCATTCAGACTTCTTTCTCTGGACATGAAGAGCATTTTTCATCATATGTCCTTTAGAATTGTCTTGGATCATTGTATTGCTGAGAATAATAGCTAAGTCATTCATAGTTGAATCATCATATAATGTTGCTGTTACTGTGTACAATGTTCTCCTAGTTCTATTCATTTTACTTTGCTTCAGTTCATCTAAGTCTTTTCGGTTATTTCTGAAATCATCCTGCTCGTCATTTCTTATGGCACAACAGTATTCCACTGCATTGATATATCACAGACCAATTGATGGGCACCCCCTCATTTTCCTATTCCTAGCCTCCATAAAAAGAGCCACTATAAATAATTTTGTACAAATAGGTCCTTTCTGCTTTTTTGGGTTCCCTTTGGGATATAGACCTAATAGTAGTATTGCTGGATCAAAGAGCTGGGCATAAAAACTAGATGCAAATTAAAAACCACAGGATTTTTTAAACCTTCTTCTAGGATATCAAGCATCCTTTACTCCCTATTTGAATTCAATTTTAGATTACTTTTATATGCCTGGTCAATCTGTATTTCAAAAGTTATGTCCAGTTTTGGATTTCTCATCAGAAAAGAATTAAGATTTCTGAAATCAATTAGGAATCATAATTTTCTTTGATTATAAATGTTCAAATTTGCTGGACAAATAATCTTGTGCTTTAGGGCAATTTGCTTTGATTTTCTATATTCTGAATTCCAGTCTTCTTGTATTTCTTCTCCTTGCATAATGTGACCTGGTAGCTGCTTATTTGCAATATGCTTTCTCCTAGTTGCTTGAAAGGTGTTACGCTTGATGTTAATGAACTGGAACCGGGCAACTATGTTTCCAATGGCATTAAGCTCAAAGTCATTGTCTTGTGGCTACTATTAATTTGCACTCTGGCCTCTTATTTCCAATGTTTCAAAGCAATTTTCTTGTGTGATTTTTTTAAATATGATAAATTTTTTATTTGTGTTTTCTAGGAGACAAATGATTTTCTGTCTCACTGAGATCAACTGCTTTTGTTTATAGAAATTTGAAATCCTTTTCTAGTTTTGCCATTTTCCCCTCTGTTGCTTGTCATTCCAACTCTAGGTTTTTTATTGTTGTTCTGCCCATTTAATATGATCCTTAGAGCCAGCTATTTCATTTAGATTTTTTATCTTTTTTTTTACTTAACAGTTTTTATGTTCATCTTCAGAAATCACTGAAAGAACTAATTTTTTTGATACCAGATCTTAATATGTTTTATTCTATCTCTAAATATTGCTGGAGGTTCTTATACTATATTCATTTTCTCTATTAGAAGGGTAGCAGTTGTACCAGTCTGGTTTTTTCTCCCCCTTTTTGAAATTTTCATCTCGCTTTAAAATTTTACTCCATAGAATTTTTTCACTGCATATTTTTGCTTTCTAATTTCTTTTTTTTCTTGTTCTATTTCATAAAAATTTTTTTTTCCTTCTCCCTCTTTTTTATGATCTTTATTTTGTGCATTTGTCTTTTGGTGGTACAGGAAAGCTGAGCTTAGATATCACCTCTCAAGGTCATCATCTTGCTAGAAATCTCTCAGACCTTTATACAAACAGGAAAGCAACACAAGGGGGAAGAATGAGAAAGTCCCTCCTTCCAGTTCCTAAGTTAGAAGGAAACCACTCACCATGAGGAAGTGAGAGAATAGGATGGAAGCCAGAATCTAACACTGCGATTCGTTCCTTTAATGTCATAGTCTCAACATCTATGGGCTTGATAGACGTCTTACATTCACACAGGATACAAGCATGAGGCCATTCACAGCTACACTTCATGGTAAGGGGTTTCTGTGGCTGAAAAGAAGAGAAACAATAAGCCAGGGATAAAGTTAACCTTGGTTTAGCATTCTGACTTAGAAATTCTGAAGAGAATATTATTGTGTGACTTTTGGAGGGGTTTAGGTTGGAGAGAGGAAGAGATTTATACATTCTCCAATAATGTTCTGTGCTAGGAACTACTTACATGCTGAAATGAAGAAGAGATAGAGATAAGATACTAAGGTTCTCTGTAGACTGAAGGAAACTAACGTACGGTAAATAGCAACATTTTAATATTATAAGGAGCTGGAACCAGGCTTTTTCTCCCCAGATAAGGCAGGAAAGAGATGTAAAATTCTTAATTATCATTCCTAATCACTATATTCATCTCTAGTTTTAAATTAAGAATTCTCCCTTTGTGATCAAAACCATGAGATATTATTGAGTGTTTTAAAAATGAGTTTGATAAGCTAACAAACTTTCTAATAAGATCTTACTGTACTTTTCTTTACATAACCAAAATATATATTCAATTCAGTGAACATTTATTAAGCACCTGCTGTATTGCTATGTCAAATCTCTCCTTATCTGACTGTTAATACTGTCACCAGAATAACATTTTAAATACTATGTTAAGATACAAAAATTCCACCCTCAAAGTCCTAAAATGAGTCCCTTATTACTCTTAAAGCAATTTAGAAATTCCTGTTCTTGATCTCAAAAAGATTTTGTCAGGTGGTATTCTGAGATGTGCTCACAATCAGATTCCTGGTTCCCCTCAAGTTACAGCACATATACAAATGCTACTATCTAATAGAGGCAGTTAGGTGGAATAGTGGGTAACAGTGTTGGGCCTAGAGACAGGAAGTCCTGAGTTCAAATCTGACCTCAGATACTTACTAGCTGTGTGACCCTGGGCAAGTCATTTAACCCGTTTGCCTCAGTTTCCTCAACTGTAAAATGGGAATTACAATAGACCCTCACAGGGTTGTTACAAAGATCAAATGAAATAATATTTGTAAAGCACCTGGCACAAAGAAGGCTGTAGAAAAAAAGCTTATTTCTTTCCTCTCTTTCCCCTATATTAAGTTATTATTTCCTTTTAGAAGTTGGCTTTAATTTTATTTATTTATTTTTTTTGGTGAAGCAATTGGGGTTAAGTGACTTGCCCAAGGTCACAAAGCTAGTAAGTATAACTGTCTGGTCTGAGGCTGGAATTGAACTCAGGTCCTCCTGATTCCAGGGCCAGTGCTCTATCCACTGAACCACCTAGCTGCCTCTCAATTTTTCTTTGAATAAGTGTCTGACAGAGATTTCCTTGCAATAAGCTTTTAAAAAAGAAAAATTTAATGTTATGATCATCAAATCATAGGAATTCTGAAATAATAAAACATTGATTCTTTTTAAAACAAGGGTATTAACAAGTCAAAATCCTGGTGTTAACACAATCATTTATTCATTAAAAAAAAGGCTATCATATCCACATTAATACAGTGATCTCTGTACAAAGAACTATTTTTGTTGAATATGGTATATATTAAAATATCTGAATGAATGGCCTCAATAACTGCATTTTATGCAAAAGATAATGCACAGAAAAAAGCTAATTTAAATCAAGATGAATAGAAAGAATTATCTTAATATTTGTCATTTGTTAATATTTCTGCTGTTAAATGAGGGCATTTGCTTTGGGGTAAGATTTTGAAAACTGCTTATGAAACATTCATGAAAAACTGACAGTTCTATACACTTCGTTAAAGACTGATGGGGAAGAACATAAATAGGACACAGACAACTATGGTATAAATATCTGTGCAGTGAATCTTACATATCTTAACTAGGCCCTTCCTTCCTGTATTTTAACCAAAGGACTTAGGAGTATTAGTTGTATGAATAAAATTAGGAGGATGAGGAAAAAGAGAAAGAAGGGACAGGGATAAGAAATATCTACACACATGAAATTGTGTGTGTGGAAGGATTTTCTTGTCTCTAAGTGGGAATATGCAAATATGGAAGCTGATGCTTGATATAGAGGCTTAAAGTCAAGGAGCAGAATAGAAAAAGAAAGAAACCTAAAGGAATATATTCCCTGAACTCAGTTTTGAACTTTTAAAAAATTTTCACTGATTGTTCCCATTTCTGGAATTCTCTTCCTCCTTCATCTGCGTCTTCTGGTCTCCCTGGCTTCCTTCAAGTCCTACCTTCTACAAGAAGTCTTTCTTGATTCCCCTTAACACCAGTACCTTTTGGTATATGTATCCTGTTTGTACATAATTGTTTACAGGTTGTCTCCCCCATTACTCTATGAGCTCTTAGACAGCAGGGACTGTTTGTTGCCTTTCTTTGTATTATCAGCACCTAGCACAGAGCCTGGCACAAAACAGGTGGTTCTTTTCTTATTAAATATTATCCCCAAATCCATGCATTGATCATCAACTGCTTTAGCCAGATAGCTAATGCCACATAAGACTCAAATCTACCTTTCTACTGAGGTATGAGACTGCGTTGGTCCGGAGCAGCTTGCGCTTCCTGTATCTGCACAAAGGGCGGATTCGGGCAGCAATACAACTGCTGTCATATGGTGAGAGGGAGGTGGCTGGAGAATCCAATCGCTTCCGTTTACTGAGTGTCTCTTCAGTATAAGAGTTGCTATCCAAGGAATTTGATCGTGAACTGCAAATCAAGGAGGAACAAATCAAATGTTATTCCTCAGTTTTTCTGAAAATGTGGATAACAGGAACCTGTCAGAATCAGGGTTCAAGAAATTGACTCTGGTTCTTGAGTTTTGTTTTTTTTATGTTCACAGTACTCTTACTTGTGTCAATTTCTCTCTCATTTTAAAGTTTTTCAAGGAAAGATTTTTGAGCAGAAATGCCAAAACAATAGACTAACGGCATGGCTGACGTTTGTTAGAGACAAACAATAGCTGAACTGACAAGTACAAATTTATACTAATCAGAAAAGAAGTGACAACATGTCTAATCTCGCCCCTTCTCTCCCCACCCTCCCAAACCCCACCCCGCTAAGAGATGACCTTGAAATAAGTGTTATAAAAATTAACTTATTATGAAAACCTCTTTTTTGGTCAACAAATACTATTACATACAACTTTTTTCAAACATACACATACACACACTGACCCATACACACCTGCCCAAATTGCCTGAAAACACTCTCAGTTCAAGCACTCATTAAAGAAGACTTGAAGAATGAGAAGCCTTTTTGGGCTTGAAATTGAAAAGGATGTTTCCAATATTAGAAAAAAAAATAAAATGATAAGAACATCATTTCTCCTTTGACTATAATACAGCATAGACTAAACTAGCTTATAATTGCTTGATGAACATTTGACTACTTGGTACATATAAACAGGAGCACTAGGAAACAGAATGCTTCTTGCTAATAGATAAATTTATCTTCTAAGCCAGATAAGGTCACTGCCCATTTTCATTATGTGCAAGAGGGAGAGAATCTTGAGAAGCTTCTCATTAGCTACATAGTGAACCTGTCCCTTCATAGGTAATTAAGTTTCTCTAGGGAATATCTCAACCAGACTCCCAGGGTTTTATATACTATTTCCAAAGGGAGGTATGAGGTGGGGTAAGAAAGCTAATCTGTTATCCTCAGTGGTGGCTCAAAATTTCTGGGGCCACTAGCACGGAGAAAAGACATTTATGAGTCTAAAAATAAACCTATAAAATTCAGTCAAAACTGGAACAATCTCTAATACAGAGACTGTTGAAAGTATTACTTTCACCTCTTTAAGGTGTATTTTTATCCTCCTTGCTTAGAACCTTGATTTGCCTCAATTCAACTATGCTAATTCTTGTGTGCAGAACACAAAGTAGCAAAAGCCTAGATTCTTGTTCTAAAGGATCTTAAAATTTCTGGCAGGAAGAGGGGACACATGGACCGACAAGAGACAGACATACATGACAATACCAATGGGACCAATGATTAAATATTATGCCAATTTAAAAAAAGTTTTTATTTGATGGGGAGGAAGACAGGACATGTGTAAGGGATAGGTATATAGACTGCCCTGGATAAAGAAAAGTTTAGTTTGAGTAGGGAAAGAGTGAGAGATTCAGGCAGACAGAAAACATGAAGTTAGATGGTGAAGGTACCTAAAATTCGAATAGAGTTTCCAAATATTTTCCTCCTGACTTTCACAATAATCCCATGGTTCAAGTTCCTTAAAGGACACAGTATGAGAACTATCTTGAGGAACTTTTTAAAAAAGATACAGCTTTATTAGAAGAGTAGCCTGAATCTATTTGCTCTAGCACTGGTTGAAGTACACTATAGCCTTGTGATGTGATATCCTAGAAGGCAGAACTGCTTCTATATTAAAGGATGTTCAAAGAAGTTAAAACACTTTCTATAGAATTAAGAAATAATTGGAATCAACAAGACTGCTCAAGGTATGGCAGACTACCTTCCAGAAGTAGAAAAATCTGCAGTCATTGCACTACATAGCACAAATAGGTAGGAATTTATTTCATGATACCTTACAAACTATTTCATAGGCGGGGAAGATCCTAAGGGAACATTCTAAGTCATACCTCATGGTAGTCTTGTATAAGCTATATTATAGACCTATGGAATGCCCTGGGGATCAAGCAGTAGGATTCAGAATCATCACTAAATCAAATCAGACAAGAGGTTATTCAGTCCCAGATTGAAGGACTCCAATGAAAGGAAACCAACTAACTCTTGAAACACCCCATTCCACTTCTTGACAACTTTGATTGTTAAGAAGCCTTTCCTGATGCAAAGACTAAATCTCCCTCTTACAGTTTTCATATATTGCTTCTGATTCTACCCTGTGGGGTCAAAGAGAAGGTTAATCCTCTTTCCACAGTGAAAATAACTCGTGAATTCTTTCAGAAAACTATCATGAACCACCTGAGCCTTCTCTTTTCCAGGCTAATTATTTCCATTTTTTTCAACCAACCCTTTTGTGGCACAGACCTGAGGCTCTTCAGTATTCTGGTGCTCTTTCTCTTCTGCTTATCAAGAGTATCCCTAATCTGTGACATCCAGACCTGAATACAATACCCTCGATGTGGCCAGGCCATCCTATCTTATTAATGGAAGCGAGACTTCTCTTAAGCATCACATTAGCTTTTCTGGCTACCATATTACACTGTTAACTTTTAATGAGCTTGCATTCCATTAAAGTTCCCAGATCTTTTTCAGGCAAATTGCTGCCAAATCATACCCTGCCAACTTAACACTCAGACTACTTTTCCTTTTATTCACACTTCAATCCTCTGCAATCTGGCTTCCAACATCACGCACTTGCGTTCACACAGCTGAATGTAATTTCCCTCTGGATATTCTCTTCTCTCCTGGTTTTCATGACAGTGCTCTTTCCTCTTATCAGTCTGGCTGTTCCTTCTTAGTTTCCTTTGCTCATTCATCATTTTTATCACTCTCATAACAGTGGGTATCCCCCCCAAGGGTCTGGCTTTAATACCTATTCTTAGCTCTATACATTTTCTCTCTTGGTAACTGCATCATCTCTCAAGGGTTCGATTATCATCTCTATGCCAATGACTCCCACATTTATATAATCACACATTTTATATAGCTTATATAATATAGAGCCCTAGGTCTCTCTTATGAGATTCAATTCCTTATCATCAAATGACCACTGGACATTTCAAACCAGATGCTTTGGAAAAATCTCAGACAACATAACCAAAACAGAATAACCTTTCCCTTCAAACCCACTCCTACTTCAGACTTTCCTATTTCTGTCAAACGTACCTCCATAATCACATTCTCCCAGGTTCACATCCTTGGCATTATCCTCAACTCTTTACTCTCATTCACTCCACCTACCCAATCAATTACCAGATCTTGTTTTTAATCTTGTTATTTCTCACATCTGATTCCTTTTCTCTCCACACAGCTATCACCTGAGTTTAGGACCTCTTCACCTTTTGCCAAAATTACTACAATGGCTTCCTAATTAGGTTACCATGTCTCAAGCCACTTCCCACATCAATTTATCTTCCACACAGCTGCCAAAAAGTGTCCTTTAAGCTGTTATCTGACCATGTAACTCTACTCAAGATGTTTTCTACTATCTCTAAAATAAAATATGGGGGGCATGCCAAGACTGCGGAGTAAAAGCAGTGACTTGCTTGAGCTCTCCCCCAAACCCCTCCAAATACCTATAAAAAATAGCTCTAAACAAATTTTAAAGCAGCAGAACCCACAAAAAGACAGAGTGAAACAAATTTCCAGCCAAAGACAGCCTGCAAGGTTGATCACAAAGGAGCACGGTTTAGCGTGGGCACACAGGCCGCAGAGGATTGAATCGTGGGCAGTTGTGGCAGTTTCCAGACTTCTCAACCCATGAAGGCCAAAGACAACTCAGAAGATCAGTGGGAAAAGTCTGTTTCTGTGGTGGTGAGAAAGAAGCATGGTGGGGTTCTAGCCCCATTCCCTGAGCTCAGCCCCGGGGCGGCAGTTGCCTCTTGAGCTTCCAACCAACAGACTGAGGGGGATCAAGTGCCTGATCAGAGGGGCATTACAAGGACCTTTCTGCTGGTGCAGGATTCCCTTGCTTTGCCCATGCTTGGATCTGGGTCACAGTTCTGGGTGGCAGTCCTGGGGTGAGAAGGAACGCTTATAGTGGCTGTGGGAGGAAACCCTCCTCACAGTTCCAAGACAGAAAAGAGTGCTTGTGGTCACTCATAGATCAGAGTACAGGCCAGAAAAGGAGTAAATACCTCGCCCTTGATCATAGCATCTTGGAAGAACTGAAAATTTACAGGTCCCTAGAAGTATCTCTGAAAACAGCTGCACAAAACCGCTGAAGCTTGGGACAGTACATTCTCCACACTGGAAACAGACTCCTACCTTAACAAAGAGTTTATAACTCAAGTAATTGGCCGGGATCATGAGCAAACAGCACAAAAAAGAGTCAGACTGTATTATCTTACTTTGGTGACAAAGAAGATCAAAACATTCGAGCAGAAGAAGACAATGAAGCCAAAGCTCCTACATTCAAAGCCTCCAAGAAAAATATGAATTGGTCCCAGGCCATGGAAGAGTTCAAAAAGGAGTTTGAGAAGCAAGTAAGAGAAGTAGAGGAAAAACTGAGAGTGATGCTAAAGGAGACCCCCAAAATACTGAAGAAAATAACACCTTAAAAAACAGCCTAACCCAAATGGCAAAAGAGGTCCAAAAAGCCAATGAGGAGAAGAATGCCCTAAAAAGCAAAATTGGCCAAATGGAAAAGGAAGTCCAAAAGCTTACTGAAGAAAATACTTCCTTAAAAATTAGAATGTTGCAATTGGAAGCTACTGACAATTTGAGAAATCAAGGCACTGTAATACTAATCCAAAAGAATGAAAAAATAGAAGAGAATGTGAAATATCTCATTGGAAAAACAACTGACCTGGAAAATAGATCCAGGAGAGAACTTAAAAATTATTGGACTGCCTGAAAGCTAGAAGTTATCAAGGAAAACTGCCCTGATATTTTAGAACCAGAGGGCAAAATAGAAATTGAAAGAATTCACCGATCACCTCCTGAAAGAGATCCCCAAAGGAAAACTCCTAGGAATATTGTAGCCAAATTCCAGAATTCTCAGGTCAAGGAGAAAATATTGCAGGCAGCCAGAAGGAAACAATTCAAGTATTGTGGAAACACAA